TAAAGTTCTCGGAGCCTTGTGACCCACGTCTGCTGACTGACTGTGTGTGTGTGCATGTGTGTGTGTATGTGTGTGTATGTGTGTGTATGTGTGTGTTTGTGTGTGTGTGTGTGTGTGTGTGTGTGTGTGTATGTGTGTGTGAGTGTGCATGTGTGTGTGTGTGTGCGTGTGTGTGTGTGCGCTTGTGTGTATGTATATGTTTGTATGCTCGTGTGCATGTGTCTGTTCGCGCGTTCGTGTGTGCGCGAACAGACACACTTAATATTTGTATGACCCACTTAATATTTGTATTTTTAACTCATTACAATTGTGACCAGGTGTGGACGTGTCACTGGCTCATTACTTTGTAATTAACAATGTATAGGAGTGAGACTGATTCATTACCTCTGTAACTTGCCATGATTGTGACCAGATCTACCTGGAGTTCATTACCTTTGTAACTAGTTCAGCTATCATAACTTTGCAGCCAGGTCCATGGACCCATTATGTACCTTTGTAATCTTTTGACTACCACCCACAGGATGGGTATGGTGTGGCTACCGCCCACAGGACGGGTATGGTGTGGCTACCACCCACAGGATGGGTATGGTGTGGCTACCACCCACAGGATGGGTATGGGGTGACTACCACCCACAGGATGGGTATGGTATGACTACCGGCCACATTACCATTTACCACATGACCCATTACCATAAATCATCCAGGCAAACCAAACTGGCTCAGGGAAACCACCCTGTCAACAACACACTTCAAGCAATTACCGAGCACCTTTGCAAAAATCTTGTAATCAATGCACATTAACGATAGTGCCCAATAATAAGAACATAAGAACATAAGAACGAAGGAACACTGCAGAAGGCCTACTGGCCCATGCGAGGCAGGTCCAAGTCTCCTACCGGCTTAAGCCAATGCACCCAACCTAGTCAGGTCAGGTCACATTGACTTAAGGGAGGAACACGGCAACCGACCTGGTAGCACAAGCTATCAGGTCTAACTCACACCCACCCACATCTACTCATGTATTTATCCAACCTATTTTTAAAGCTACACAACGTTCTGGCCTCTATAACGGTACTTGGGAGTTTGTTCCACTCATCCACAACTCTATTACCAAACCAGTACTTTCCTATATCCTTCCTGAATCTGAATTTTTCCAACTTAAAACCATTGCTGCGAGTCCTGTCTAGGCTAGATATTTTCAGCACACTATTTACATCCCCTTATTTTATTCCTGTCTTCCATTTATACACCTCAATCATATCCCCCCTAATTCTACGTCTTTCTAGAGAGTGCAAGTTTTCAGGGCCCTTAATCTATCCTCATAGGGAAGGTTTCTGATACATGGGATCAACTTTGTCATCCTCCTTTGTACATTTTCCAGAGAATTTATATCCATTCTGTAATACGGTGACCAAAACTGTGCAGCATAATCTAAATGAGGCCTAACCAAGGATGTATAGAGTTGAAGAACAACCTGAGGACTCCTATTATTTATGCTTCTTGATATGAAGCCAAGGATTCTATTAGCTTTATTGCGAACACTTATGCACTGTTGTCTTGGTTTCAGATTACTGCTAACCAGAACTCCTAAATCTTTTTCGCAATCCGTAATATTAAGATCTACATTATTTAGTTTATATGTGGCATGGTTATTGTCCTGTCCAACATTTAGAACTTTGCATTTGTCTATATTAAACTGCATCTGCCCACTTCTCCGACCACTGCATCAGTCTATTCAAATCTTCCTGGATGCTCGAATGTCCTCGTCAGAATGAATTCGACGGCCTATTTTGGTGTCATCGGCAAACTTGCCGATGTCGCTCTTTATGCCCTCATCTATGTCGTTTATGTAGATTGTGAACAGCAGGAGGCCCAACACTGACCCCTGTGGAACACCGCTGGTGACGCTTCCCCACTCTGATTTCTCCCCATTTATGCAAACTCTCTGCTGCCTATTTGTCAACCATGCCTCTATCCAGGAAAAAATTTCTCCTCCTATTCCATGAGCTTTAATTTTCCTCAATAGTCTCTGATGTGGGACCCTGTCAAAAGCCTTACTGAAGTCCATATACACAATATCATATTCATTACCATGATCTACCTCCTCAAATACCTTAGTGAAAAAAGTTAATAAATTCGTAAGGCAGGAACGCCCCTTTGTAAAACCATGCTGAGATTCGTTGATTAATTTATGCTTTTCAAGGTGGCTGCGAACTGCCTCGGCAATTATTGATTCCATAAATTTTCCCACTATGGAGGTTAGGCTTATTGGTCTATAGTTCGAAGCTAAGGACCTGTCACCTGTTTGAAAATAGGTATCACATTTGCCATTTTCCACTTATCTGGCACCATGCCATGTTTGTAGTGATATGTTGAAAAGATTAGCCAAAGGTGTGCTAAGCTCCTCTTTACATTCCTTTAGAACCCTTGCATACAGTTCATCGGGGCCTGGGGATTTGTTAGGTTTTAATTTATCTATTTGCCTAAGGACCATGTCACTTGTGACCCTAATAGTGCACAGTTTATTATCGTCCTGTTCTACATAATTTATCATTACTGGAATATCGCTGGTATCCTCCTGTGTAAAAACTGAGAGGAAGTATGTGTTAAAAATTCTACACATTTCCTTATCACTGTCAGTGAGCTGACCCGAGGAACTTTTGAGTGGGCCTATCTTGTCCCTGATCTTACTTCTGTATACCTGAAAGAATCCTTTTGGGTTAGTCTTCGATTCTCTTGCAACTTAACCTCATAATCTCTTTTTGCCTTTCTAATTCCCTTTTTTATTTCTCTCTTTAACTGAATATATCGATTTCTCAATTGCCCCTCTCCTCTTTTGATTTGCCTATATATGCCTCTCTTTTGACCAATCAGATATTTTTAATCTATTGTTCATCCATTTGGGAAATCATTTTTGTTTGATCTGATTTCCCTATTTGGAACATAATTTGACTGAGCAGCTAGAACTATGCCCTGGAAAGCATCATATCGGCAACCATCACCACCTACCTGACCCTTAGTCAGGTCATTCCAGTTCAACCCCACCTAAGTAATTTTTCAGTCCTATGAAATCAGCCAAGCGAAAGTCAGGGACGGAGACTTGATTGTCATTATCAGGGGAATTCCATGATATATTAAAACTGAGTGATTTGTGATCACTTTCCCCAAGCTCATCATTAACCTCAAGATTATTAATTAGTGTTTCCCTACTGGCAAGAACCAAGTCAAGGAGGTTATTTCCCCTAGTTGGCTCTGTCACAAACTGTTTTAAAAAACAATCCTGGATCGTATCAAGAAAGTCACCTGACTCTAAATTTCCTGTCAAATTGCTCCAGTCAATCTGTCTATAGTTGAAATCTCCCATTAGCACAACATTTTCGTATGTAGATGCCTTACGAATTTCGTCCTTAAGGGTTCGCTAATGTGACCCCTTCGGGACGAATGCTACCACCCCCATCACTTGCCCCACCCCTAACCTACCCTCCCTTTTCATTGCATTCAACAGTCTGACCAAGAAACCCCTCAACAGGTCCCAATGTGCCAAATAAAATTCACACAGGAGCCCATCCACATCTGGCGCCTTGCTCTTGTTCATACCTACCAATGCTCTCCAAATTTCCTCCTCCTCAATGTCCTCCCCAATGCCAGTCTATCACCTCTCCCCAGGGGTTTTCCTACACACCCACGCACCTCCTTCAACATCTCTGCTACTACCCCACTACTACACCAGTAATGCTCATACCACCTGTCAGCATACATGTCCATGCCCTCCATCAACCTGAGCACCTGCCCCACCCAATAACCCTTCTCTGCACAACACACCTCCAGCTGCGTAAGAGTTGTCTCCCTCCTATGTTGTTGTTGACCCCTCAGGACACAGGCCAATGGCCTATCTCCCCATAGCACTTCATCCAGACCCATCAGCACCCTTATGGCTTTGAACCTTTCATTCTGCTACTCCCACAACCTCTCCTTCTGGTCGTCCATCTCCCCCACCTGGTACCTTCCCTGCAAAGTGCCCCTACTGTAGCAATCACATAAGCGCTGCTCCAGATAAGACGACAACCCATATCGCATTTGATTGGTTCTCTTCCCTTTGTGGATATAAAAATCCCTAATCCGAGCCTTTGCAATACCATCCCACCAACCCACTACATCATCAACCACCCTTCCCTCCTCCCCCAGTTCCTCCCACAATGCCGCAAGCATCCCCCACTGGTTCCTCATCCTTGAGAACCCACTCATTTAATTTCCAGTAACCTGCCTACTGTCTAGCTAACTCCTACCACCCCACCTTCCCTATCACAGCCCTGTGATCTAAATAAGGGGTGTCAACAGTGTGAAAGAATTCGATGCCAATGCACCGCATGACATATAGATGATCCAATCATGCCCCATATCCCTCTCTCACAAAAGTATGTTCCACCTCCCACGAACCCACAGTGAACACATCCCACAATTGAACATCCCAGAGAAGCTGCCCCAATACATGCGAGAAAAAACCCACCCCCCTCAGCACTACATCCACCCACTGTACAATGCAATTCCAATCCCCACCCACTAACACTAATTCAGGTAAAGATCGAAAAAAATAAGCCAACTCTTCCCACATGAAATCATTTTTAACTCGTACAACATTCTCCACCAGCACGTACACTTATACAAAACCAACCCTATCACCTCCTCACCATCCATTCACATGTAACACTCGGCCTTCAACATCCCCCCTCACTCCTGAGCAACACGAATGGGCTTGCCTCTTGGATCAAGATAGCGACCCCCCCCTTTGAGACTCTCCGAATGCGCCACAAAACTCTGATAACCCTCCACCTCAAAAACCTTTCCTGCTTTTCAATTATGCTCCTGTATGTATACCACATCATCACTGTATCTACGCAAAAGCATGCATAACCAATCACACTTTATTTTCACACACAACCCATTCACGTTCAGCATCATACACCTGAGGTCTGCTAATGCTTGCACCCCCACTGACCCACAAGCTCACAGGGGCCTTTCACACCCCCCTTGCCCTGCACACCACTCGTGATTCTAGGACCACCCTGTACTGCCTGGTGCTCGTGCTTTTTCTCACCCACACTGCTATCCATCTCCATCCACACCTTCCCTGTATGTTGAGCCGGCGTCAACACATTGCCAGAGTCTGACGTCACTGCTGCCCTTTTCCTGATGACAACACTTTCCTCCATTGACGAACCTGGGTCCTCCTCACGGTGCACCTCCACCACTATGGACTGCCCAACATCCTTACCAGATGGCTGCCCATCCACGTCATGCTCATCGTCACTCACATCCACCTCACGCCCCAACTCCTCAGGTGCAGGCACTGGACCACCCAAAGGCCCTGCCACTGTGACCTCCACAGGTGACTGGAACAAAGACTGCATCATTGTCTCCACTGTCGCCGTGAAGGCCATTATGCCCTCAGACTCCCATGGCACTGGCTGCTCTGGAATCAGCTCATCCAGGGTAGGTCCCACCCCTGGAGCCTCAGCAACCTCGCTCCATAGTCGACCACACCCATCCTCTTCCACCCAGGCAGGCTCAGGAACCACCCGCCCAACTCCGGTGGGCGCAACACCAGCCTCTCGCCCGGCCTGACCCCACCTGCCTCACTCAGCTGCAACGTGATTGTTGTTTACCTGGAGTTTACCTGGAAAGAGTTCTGGGGGTCAACGCCCCCGCGGCCCGGTCTGTGACCACGCCTCCTGGTGGATCAGAGCCTGATCAACCAGGCTGTTACTGCTGGCTGCACGCAAACCAACGTATGAGCCACAGCCCGGCTGGTCAGATACCGACTTTAGGTGCTTGTCCAGTGCCAGCTTGAAGACTGCCAGGGGTCTATTGGTAATCCCCCTTATGTATGCTGGGAGGCAGTTGAACAGTCTCGGGCCCCTGACACTTATTGTATGGTCTCTTAACGTGCTAGTGACACCCCTGCTTTTCATTGGGGGGATGTTGCATCGTCAAAGTTCCTGGAAAGTGAAACGTTGCCTCTCTCTGCTTTGTATTGGACTGAAGAAGCCATTGTGTGGCGAAACGTTTCCTTAATAATGATTCCCATAAGTGTCTCAATCTTCAACTTGTCAGTTTTCAAACCATTTATCACAGTAGTGAATGTATATGCCACTGTACATGGGCTTGTGCTACACGGAAAAACCAAAACCTATATCTGAGAGGTGGATATTAACATCAAGGAAAGGAAGCAAGGAATTACATTCCCACTGAAGATTGAGACACTTATACAACATAAGAAAGGAAGAACACTGCAGCAGGCCTATTGGCCCACTTTGTATTGTACTGATGAAGCCAGACAGTGGCTAGAGTCATCAGGACAAAGAGCAAAGATGTCATCTACATACACAACTTTCCTTGTATGAGTCCATATCAAAATGGTATATAATACCGACAGGTTGGTAGGTAAGACACATAGGCAACAGTTAGGCAACTTTATTCCGAAACGTTTTGCCTGCACAGTAGGCTTCTTCAGTTTTTTCAGTCGAGTACAGAAAGTAGGCAGGAGAAGCAGAGATGTGAAGACGATGTAATCAGTCCATCACCCTTGAAGTCGTAGATTTGAGGTTGTCAGTCCCTCAGCCTGGAGATGTTCTGTTCCATAGTCTGGAACTATCTGTTGCCTATGTGTCTTACCTACCTTTCTTTGTATGAATCTTAGTCCTGGCTTCGTCTCTGTAGATGCCTTCCTTTCCCGTTACATTGTAAAATGCTCCGAACTTCAGAACACCCGTGACTTAACCTGATTCTTTTTCCCCCCTTCTCCTTTCCTCTTTCTCCTTTGGGTTTTCTTTCTTCTGCCTTGGGGATTTGGTCCATTATTATTATTTTCCCCCACTCCCTCTGTGTTTTTGTTCCTACCTTTTGTGGGCCCCTAGCTCCCTTGTGGGCCCCTAGCTCCCTTGCAGTACTCTTCTTACACAACTGTAGGCCAGACCAACAAGGGGGTGGCACAGCCATATACTACTCAGACCAACTAGAATGTATCACTAATACTTGCACAAGGGATGAACATGGGGAATATATAATAGCTAAATTCAAATCCAAATACCTACAAAAGCCTCTCACATTGATAAACATCTACAGAGTTCCACAGTCAAGCATTAGCCAATTTAGTCAAAACCTAGGAAGTATGATAACTGATGCACGCATGAACAAAGATCACTTACTACTCTCAGGTGACTTCAATATAAATCTCCTGCAAGACCAGGACCCACACGTTACTGAATTCACAAACACAATGAGTAACTGTATGTTGCTACCAACAGTAAAAAAACCAACAAGAGTTACAGAGACAGTTTTTCCCCCTACTTGACCCCCATCCGGGAAACCAAAAACCTACCCCCTTTTAAAAAAATCGGGCATAATTACAGATAATACCACAGCCCAAACTCCCCAAATTTTTTCCTCATAACAACTCTTGGGAAAACCCCAAACCCCAAAAACACACTACAAAAGTCACCTTCAGACTTCAAAATGAGGCGGGCCCTTAAATAACTACAACAGAAAGAAAACAAAAAATTGACTGGCAAAACTGACTAGAAATCAAACAGATATTGACGAATGTATTAATTTTTTCTAAAAAAGACCCAATACCTCTATAATAAGCACTGCCCTAAAAAACAAACAGATGACACTAAGAGACTGAACAGGGCCCTGGGTAACACCTAGCTTCCTTTAAATCTATAAATAAAAAAACAACCCAAAAAGAAAAAAAAGTACAGAATGGTCACATAACCAAGGGACCAAACCCAAAAAGTTACTCGTCAAACCTAACCACCTGAAAAAGAAGGGCCAAAAAAAAATTTTATTTTGAGAACAGATTATCCAACTTAGGAGGTTATAATAAAAAACCTTGGGAAAACCCCCCCAGAAATTCCCGGGAACAAAAAAGATATCAAGAAAAAACGAAATAAAATTTGCAAAATCAGAAAGAACCCCAACTCCCACCAAAAAAACCCAAACAGACTCAATGATTTCTTCCCACTTTAGGGCCCAAAACCCTTTCCAATTAAAACCCAAGCTCAGATACCCCACCCAAAAAACTACCTCACCGGCAAATACCCGAACACACTGTTTTCCCAGGGTCCGACTAAACCCCAAAGAAGTCTTCCTTATTATCAACGCACTAAAAAAAAAAGGCAGGAATTTAAAACCTTACCAAACCCCTTTTTTAAACAAAAAAGGGGGAAAAACTATCACCAAACATTTCAACACTCTTTAACAAAACCATTGAAACCTTTCCACCTTCCCCACAGTACTTTTAAAATACAAGGTCACCCCGATCCACAAAGGGGAGACCCAAAAAAAGTTGAATAACTAAGGCCAATATCCAACTTACACCCTCTTTTCAAAAATCTTCGAAAAATTTAAATTTAAAACGAATCAAACCCTACCTTTTCTCCCAAAACAATAAATCAACCCCTGCCCAAATTTTGGGTTCAGCCTAATTAAAAAAACCCAAGGGTCTAATTTTAACACAAGCTAAACAATATACACTGCAATAGAGAAAAAAAAAGTCCCCCTGGGGGTCTTCAAATTTACTTACTAAAGGGTTTTTTATACAGTTTTACCATTACTTGCTCCACGTAAAATTGGGCACACTAAAGGGAAAAGAGGCGCTCCCTCAACTACCTCAAGTCATACCTCAGCAACAGAAGCCAATATGTGTACGCAAATGGGGCAAAACTCTTCTGCACAACCAATTACAGTTGGTGTCCCACAGGGAAGTGTCCTTGGCCCTCTTCTCTTTCTCCTATACATAAATGACCTACCAAATGCTTCGCAATTACTCAAACCCACACTATTTGCAGATGACACTACATACGTCTTCTCCCACCCGAGCCCAGTCACGCTAGCCAATACTGTAAATACCGAATTACAGAAAATATCTACCTGGATGAGGACTAACAAACTTACACTAAACATTGACAAAACCTACTTCATTCAGTTTGGTAACAGAGCTACAGATGTCCCTCTTAACATAATGATAAACGGATCACCTATCACAAAGCTAACAGAGGGAAAATTCTTAGGAATCCACCTTGATAATAGACCAAATTTCATACACATATACAACAAATTTCTAAAAAAAAATTCCAAGACTGTAGGCATACTTTCGAAGATACGGTACTATGTTCCACAGTCAGCCCTCCTGGCCCTATATCACTCTCTTATTTACCCCTACTCACCTATGGAATTTGTGCATGGGGCTCAACAACAATTAACCATCTCAGACTACTAATTACCCAACAAAAGGCTGCAGTTAGAATGATAACAAATTCTCACTACAGGCAGCACACTCCACCAATATCAATACACTAAACCTACTCACCATACAAAACATCCATACTTATTACTGCACCTATTACATACATAGAACACTTAACTCTGATATTAACCCTCCCCTCAAACATCTCCTTGCCAACCTCAACAGAACACATGATCATAACACAAGGCACAGATCACTCTTTGATGTTCCTCGTGTCCATCTCACGCTATGCAAAAACTCAATGCACATAAAAGGCCCTAAAATCTGGAATTCATTACCTGTAAATATAAAAGAAACACTACCTGTTTATAAATTCAAGTCTCTTCTCAAAGATCACTTACTCACCCAAAACCAAATAAATACTGAATAACTGAACCTTATAAATTGTATATCTTAAATGTTTCTCACAATTATATCACATAAATGTTAAACCTAAAACCCAATCTAACTTTACTATTTTTTAAATATACTACCTAACAGAATTCTCCATACGAGAATACAAAACAAATTCTGGCCACGAAATAGAGCGAAACACCAACGTCAAAGACCTGGGAGTGATTATGTCGGAGGATCTCACCTTCAAGGACCATAACATTGTATCAATCGCATCTGCTAGAAAAATGACAGGATGGATAATGAGAACCTTCAAAACTAGGGAGGCCAAGCCCATGATGACACTCTTCAGGTCACTTGTTCTATCTAGGCTGGAATATTGCTGCACTCTAACAGCACCTTTCAAGGCAGGTGAAATTGCCGACCTAGAAAATGTACAGAGAACTTTCACGGCGCGCATAACGGAGATAAAACACCTCAATTACTGGGAGCGCTTGAGGTTTCTAAACCTGTATTCCCTGGAACGCAGGAGGGAGAGATACATGATTATATACACCTGGAAAATCCTAGAGGGACTAGTACCGAACTTGCACACGAAAATCACTCACTACGAAAGCAAAAGACTTGGCAGACGATGCACCATCCCCCCAATGAAAAGCAGGGGTGTCACTAGCACGTTAAGAGACCATACAATAAGTGTCAGGGGCCCGAGACTGTTCAACTGCCTCCCAGCACACATAAGGGGGATTACCAACAGACCCCTGGCAGTCTTCAAGCTGGCACTGGACAAGCACCTAAAGTCAGTTCCTGATCAGCCGGGCTGTGGCTCGTACGTTGGTTTGCGTGCAGCCAGCAGCAACAGCCTGGTTGATCAGGCGCTGATCCACCAGGAGGCCTGGTCACAGACCGGGCCGCGGGGGCGTTGACCCCCGAAACTCTCTCCAGGTAAACTACGACTGAATGTACAACAATGCAAGCAACCATATGA